TTAGTGACTAAAACAATAGCTATCCAAATCAAAGAGGTTTTGACAAACATCATTAATGAAGAGAAAAGTGATTTCTTCATAGGGAGATTAATTTCTGACAATGCTATGCTGGAAATGGAGTGTTTTCATTGGATGAAAAGAAGAAATCATGAAAGAAAGGAACCATGGCCCTCAAGTTAGACATGTCTCAGGCATGGGATAGAATGGAGTGGAGTTTTGTGGAAGGTGTTCTGATTTCACTTGGATTTCCATCCTCTATAGTGAATCTGATTATGAATACATTTCCTCAGTCTCTTACCAGTTCCTTGGCCAACCTAACATAAAGTTTTTTTCTTCTGGAAATAGGTCTTCACCAGGGAGACCCCATTTCCCCTTACTTATTTGTCCTCTGTGCAGATGTGCTTTCAAGAATGCTGAAGATGGAGTCTAATGCCAACAATATTCATAACATTCAAGTGGCGAGAAGAGCCCCAAAGATCTTACACCTTTTCTTTGCTGACGATAATCTTCTGTTTTTTAGGGCAAACACTTTCGAATTTGACAAAATTTTGGAAATTCTAACCCATTACCAAGCCTCTTTAGGTCATATGGTTAATCTTGAGAAATTAGAAGCCTCTTTTAGTCAAAATGTGCCATAAACTGTTATAGATATGATTCGTAATATGATAGGAGTAAAGACGGTCCAATCTCATTCGAGATACTTGGGTCTTCCTGTTTTGTTTGGTAGATCAAAAAAAGATGTGTCCTCACTCGTGGTTGATCGTGTGTGGAAGAAGCTTAAAGGGTGGAAGGAAAGAGTTTTGTATCGAGCTGGGAAAGAAGTGATCATTAAAGTCGCTTCCCAAGCAATTTCCTCATATATTATAAGTTGCTTCAAACTTCGAGAAGAAGTGTGCAAGGGATCTAGAGAAGGAGAAAGGAAATGCATTGGGTTAGCTGGGAAAAACTTGTTTTGGCTAAAGGTGATGGTGGAATGGGGGTTCATAGGTATATCAAATTTCAATCTAATCTTATTGGGAAAGCACTTTTGGAGAATCCAGACTGGTAGAAGCTCAATTCTCACAGATGTCCTGAAGAGTAAATACTTCCCTAGATGCTCAATCTATGAAGCCAAGGAAGGTTATGCGCCAAGATATGTGTGGAAAAGAGTCCTTTATGCTAATGAGGTGGTTATGGCTGGATCCAGATGGAGGATAGGTGATGGAACCAATGTCAAAGTTTGGAAAGATGATTGGCTCCCAAAGAATGATAGCTTTAAAGGGATCAGTGCAGGTAGGGGCTTAAGTCAGGAAGCTCTAGTTTCATATTTAATTGAACATGACTTGTCTTGTTGGAAAAGAAACATGTTGAATGAATGGTTTGAACCTTGGGAAGTAAGTCAGGTAGCTAGCATTCCTATTTCGCGGAGCATAATTGAAGACAGAAGAGAAGCAACTCTATGAGGTCTACTTATCATTTTTTGAGAGCTAGAAGGAAAGCTTCGAAGGAAGGTCCCTCTAGACCTCAAAATGCACCCCTTTGGAAAAAAATTGGAAAGCCCCAGTTCTTCCTCGCATCAAAAATTTCCTCTGGCTGTTTGGCAAGAATATCCTCCCTATTAAGTCTAATCTAGAGAAGAAAGGTATGGAAATTGATTCCTCCTGCCCTCTCTGTCATGATCATTTTGAAACTCTCCAACATGTGTTTTTAGTTTTCCTTTATGCTAAGATAGTCTGGTACTCCTCCCCCTTGGGGCTTCGTATCTCTCCTAATTTTGATCCTTTCAAGTGGTTAGAGAAGGGACTTGATTTGAAGGATATTTTCGTGTACAACTAATTTGTACTACCCTGTGGAGAATTTGGAAAAATAGGAATGAGTGTGCGTTCTCTAACAAATATTTGAGCACTCGAGAAGTTCCTAAGGATGCCATGGACCATATGGTGGAGTTTAACAAAGCTAATTCACATGTATTTTCTAAGAAGAAGCCCATTGAAGGTGGGGAGGCTGGTGAGAATCCCAATGATTGTTTCCTTGTCCAAGTTGATGTTGGGTGTTTTTTGGACGATGTTATGGCGTTGGGTTGTGTCATTAGAGATAAAGACTCGTTGGTAACTTTAGTTGCGTGCAGGAGATTACACAATTCAATTGATTCTAGTATTGCAGAAGTGATGGCTATTGACTGGGGGCTTTAGCTGGATCTTGATTTAAAGATTAAAAAGACCGTTTTTTAAGTCAGATGCGCTTGGAGTAGTGGATTGTGTCAATTAAATTACTGTTTCGGTTGTTTTAGAACCTTTAGTTTTGGATTGTAATGTGTTAATGAAACCATTTGATGATGTTTTTGTTATGTTTCTTAGGAGAGAAACAAATGTTGATGTCCTCCATATGGTTGAGATTGGTAGAGTAGTTGGTTGTAGGTATTGGATGGGTAGTATACCCAAACTGGATTCTTCATCTAATGTTTCCTTTGTTGTTGATTGTTAATGAAAAGCCTTTGCTTAAAAAAGGTTATTCTTTAAACCATTGGCTTCGTATTTGGATGATTTGAAGTTTGATCAGAGTTCAGAGTCTTGAAAATTAGACTTCAAAGTCTAGTGAAAACGAGGCTTGATTTGTCAGAGTAAATCTGAATTGTTTGATGCAGAGGCATTTTGTCTTGGTTATTCAGATGATTGACTATCAGATAAATACTTTTTCATATTTCAAAATTGTTTCAGAAGCTGTTGAAGTTCAGAGTCTAAAGTCTCTTTGTCTAGAGTCTAGAGTTTTGCTTTGTCCAAAGTCCAAAGTCTATACTTTATCTAGAGTCAATAGTCTGCTTTGTTATCTTAAGATTTTGTACGCTTAATGAAACATTAACATACAAAATTATTCTCTATACTTGGTTATTATCAAAACTTAAAAATTATAGATATAGAACCAAATTTACTCCAACAAATATAAGATAAAATAAAAGATTTAGATTAAACATTAAAATAATAGACACGTTATTAAAAATTGATAAATAATCTTAACTAAAATTAACTCGTATATTACAAAATCATTAAATTAAAAATAAAATGTTCACAAATTTATCACCTTTTGAAGTTTTATAAAATTAGTTGATATTTTAAAGACTTAATTGTAATTTTGACCCACCTATTTTTTTATTTTTTTATTTTGATCCCTCCATTTTAAAACTACTATTTTAGTCTATTTTTTAAATATAAAAAAAAATGAATTTTCGTCCCCTCATTTTAAAATCATGATTTTGGTCCCTTTTTTAAGTTTTAAATTGCAATTTTAGTCCCTTTTTAAATTTTCTTTTGAATTTTGGTCAATTTCTCATTATTATCAAAATTAAAAATGAGACTAAAATTGCAACTTAAAACTTAAAAAAGAGACCAAAATCATGATTTTGAAAATGAAGAGATGAAAATTCAAAAAAAAAAAACTTTAAAAATGGACTAAATGATAATTTTTAAAATAGGAGGATCAAATAAGAAAAAAACTAAATATGAGGATCAAAGTTACAATTAAATTTATTTTAAATATCAATTTGAAGTTTTTTTGCTGGTGACCTAAATTTAATTATTAATGTTAATATAGTCTTAAGTGTAATACATATTTAATTTGTAAGGAAGAATAAGTAATTCAAGCATCTCAAAATTAGAGATGTCAACGATTTCTCTTAATTTTGTTCTCGTCCTTGTCTTCAATTTCTGCTACAATTTTTTTTCCTTATTCCATTTTCACAGGTTTCTACGAAGATCCACTGAGATTGAATTTTAAAAAGAATGTATATATTTTTCGCTCAAAACTATTATACTATATTAGCTGAACTTTTTTAGAGTTGTGTATTTAGATATAAAAATAATTTATTATACAATAAAATAAATAATTAAAATGATCCACTAGTAGCTCTTTATTTGACATATTAATTTTTTAAAAAATAAAATGATCCATTAATAATTTTTTTTCTAATATATTAATTTAAAAAAATAAAAATATCCATTAATGACTCATTATTTTGTAATATATTAATTCTTTTATAAAAGAATATAAAGTTACTCTTCATTTTGTAATATATTAATTTTTTTATAAAAAAATATAAAAATAAAAATATGATCGGGTAGAGAAATTTGTGGGACGGAGGATTATTCCTTAATCCCTTTTTCAAAGTGTCATCGAAAAAACTTTTCTTTCATCTCCATTTTTACAAAAAAAAAAACATTGACTTCAGAACTTTGAACAAATAATTTTCACAAGATTTCTATTAACATATACAAATTGACATCCCTGCTCAAAAAGGAAGAGAGGTATAATTTTTTATATATTTACTTTTTAATGGATGGAAAATTATATATTTTAACATTAAAAGAACGTCAAGTTAACTATATCTACACTGGTTAATTGAACCAAGTCTTATAATTATTTTTTGTCCAAATTATTTCTAAATAAAACAGTGTAAAGATAAATATACATATGTAATTATGTTCTATATAATCAACCATACATTCAACATTATTTTCCACTTGCATTGCATTTGTGGGATAAATTATTTGCCGTTTGGCTAAAAAAAACTTATCATCTCTACCTTAAAATAGCAATCAAAACAACAAATTAAGACCACAAAGTGTCAACAACAACCCATAAATTCTAAACATGTTCATCTACCTATAGAAGCAATCCTATATTTTACCAAAGACCCGAATATCCCGGACCCAAAATTATATTTTGTCAGAACCTCTTTAGGAAATGAATTTCTCGTACGTGTTCACACATAATTTGTTCACCATTCATTTCCACACCTTATTTACACATTTTTATAACCTCTCTCTTGAACACAACTTAACACCTTCCTCTCCCTTTTCTTTTGGCCAACTAATCAATCAAAGTCTTCATTTCATTTTTTTCTTCTTTTCTTTTAATCTCTGGTTTTCATTTTCCGGTGGTTGAGCTGAACTGGTGTCTGAATCGGTGAATGAAATAAAAAACTAATATCTTGAATGATATTGAGATAAGAGAGAAAAGAGGACATCATGTTTGGCGACAAAAGAAAAAACAGCAACAATGATAGCAACAACGATAACAACAATAACAATAACAACAATGTTCCTCGTCCTCAATTCATGCAATCAGAACCTCGGCTTTCCACCACCGATGCCTATTCAGACGAAGACTATGCCAAACGTAGCAGCAGTGCCGCCTCTCCCATGAGCCCTTACAGCTATGACCCCGTCAGGTCTCTCCTCGTCTATTTTCTTATCTTCATTGGTAGTTTTTTTATAAGAACAATTAAGAATTTCACATCAGACAATAAATAGGCTAAAGAGACCATCATTATCTTATAAATCGATTTTGTATTATTGAGTTATGTTCAACTACAATTTTAACATGATATCATAGAGTATCAAGTTTATGCTATTGAGTTACCTGTCATTTATTTCTACGCTCCAGATATGTAATATCTATAAAGTTATAATAATCTTTGCTTAATGGTTCGTGATCTGTAACTAATTAAAAGTTTGAAATATGAAATTTAGGATAAGTGGTGAGGGCTCACCAATGATGATGTCACCATGGAATCAAACAACAAACTCACCATTCTCAAAGCCACAGTGGTCACAATGCGAAGAAGCACCACCACAGAATTCCCTAATCGGCTCCCTCGTCCGCGAAGAAGGACACATTTACTCATTGGCAGCTTCCGGGGACTTATTATACACCGGCTCCGACAGCAAGAACATCCGCGTGTGGAAGAATCTTCAAGAATTTTGCGGATTCAAATCCAACAGTGGATTAGTAAAAGCAATAATAATCTCCGGTCAAAAAATCTTCACCGGCCACCAAGACGGAAAAATCCGAGTCTGGAAAGTTTCCGTCAAGAACCCTAGCATCCACAAACGCGCGGGAACATTACCAACTCTCAAAGACATTTTCAAAAGCTCCATTAAACCAAGCAACTACGTCGAGGTACGTAAACACCGCACCGCGCTATGGATCAAACACTCCGACGCCGTTTCATGTCTGAGCCTCTCACCGGACAAAATCTACCTCTACTCCGCTTCATGGGATCGAACAATCAAAGTATGGAGAATCGGAGATTCTAAATGTTTAGAGTCAATAACCTCGCACGAGGACGCAGTCAACTCCGTCGTGTGCGGCAACGACGGTGTAGTTTTCTCCGGTTCCGCTGACGGAACGGTTAAGGTGTGGCGAAGAGAAGCACGTGGGAAAGGAACGAAGCACGTGGAGGTTAAAACGCTTTTGAAACAAGAATGTGCAGTTACGGCTCTAGCGGTCGACTCGTCCGGTTCGATGGTTTATTGTGGAGCTTCTGATGGGTTGGTTAATTTTTGGGAACGTGACAAGAGTTTTGCGCACGGTGGGGTTCTGAAGGGTCATAAGCTAGCGGTTTTGTGTTTAGCTTCGGCTGGGAATTTGATTTTTAGCGGTTCAGCTGATAAAACCATATGCGTGTGGAAAAGAGACGGAGTTATTCACACATGTGTTTCTGTTTTAACGGGACATGATGGCCCCGTTAAATGCTTAGCGGTGGAGCAAGATCGTGATTCTGCTGGTGGGAGAGATGAACGGTGGGTGTTGTATAGTGGAAGTTTGGATAAATCTGTTAAAGTTTGGAGTGTTTCTGAGAGTCTGCAGCATCAGAGGATTGCTTCTGATAGTGATTCAGTGCCTTCGGAATCGGACGGTAGCTATTCGTCGAGTCGGGCCGGGCATAATAAACGAAATTGATTTGTTTGAGGTAGGGTTGGGCTTTTGGGCTCAATGTGGTTTGTTGTTTGGGCTTTTTGTAGTCCAGTGTGATTCTACTGCCACGTCTCTTTTGGGATGATTGTGTTGTTGTTTCTCTATTTTTTTTTTGTTAATTGACTTTGATTGATTTTTTTTTGTAAGGCTGGAAGATGTATATGTATGATATATATTTATGTAATGTAATATAATTTGTGTATTATATTATAATTTGTGTATTATTTTGGTTTTGATGTGGTTGTATAGTTTATGTTGAGTCGTGAATGAGAGAGATATGGAAATAATAGTATATGATATATTATGAAATATAATTAGTTATGCATGTTAATCTTATTGGTTGATTAAAACTTGAAAGTGGGTCAAAGAATGATATCTGACTTGCTGGAAAGTTGAGGAAAATAAGGAAAGTTGAGGAAAATAAGGATTGTACCTGCAAGACATTTCAACGGTCAAGTAAGAATTGGATACCTGATCCTCACATGTGTAAGGGTTTATATAATGCCTCCGGCGCTTGACCATTGGTTCCTATTTTTGGACCTATATATGCGGGTCTGCAAAAATATGTAACTCCCAGGACTCGGTCAAAATGGACAGATGTGCCCGTAACTAGCCGTTGGATTTGAGAGGAGACAGATTATAAGAATAAAGGCGTTTTGATCGTTTCCTGGTTGTCTGCCCGACTCATGTCGGGTTGACAGGAAAATAACGGCTGACTGGGTTAGGCACGTGTGTCGGTCATCGTTGGTCGCGCTCCCAGAGGCGTGGTCGATCAGGATACTGGGCCACTGTTATTGGGCAGTGTGTTGGCTGAAGATTTTGATAATGTTATTTAGAAGCCAAATGAGTTAAATGTTTTTGATCGAAATGGAATTAAACGTCATATTTCGAAGTAGCAGAAGCAGTGTTTCGAATAAGTGTGTCAAAGCTTGGAGCTTCGAGTGGCAATTATGGGAACATATCTAAAGGAGTCTCGAAACAACAGCGAGGCTGTGTCTGGAAAGAGCGTTCGAAACGGAGAAACACCAAAGCATTTAAAATTCAAATGGAAGCGAGACTTTCGAAGTTTGAAAGTTATGTGTTGGAGCATTTGGGGACACGTGGAAAGATGAAAGAAGCATTGTCCTGCATGTTCGAAACGTGACATAATCCTATGGCAAGACCGTTATGGTCGAATTAGTATAAATAGAAGTCTTAGTATTAGGATTTTGTGTGTCATATCTATTATACAAAATACTCAATAACATTCAAACTACCACATGGCAAGGGAAACGAATGCAAGAGAAATGTATGTATGATAGCACCATGTATTTCTGATTTAATGAAAACCTTTTACCATTTTTAGTACTTTCCTTTATTCCTTTTGTCAAACAACATTTACAAGTTTTCTTATTTACAGTCTTTTCACTTCGAAATCTCTTCTTCAAAGTTTTACATTTTATTGTTTTCTTTATATTTCGAGCACTTTATATTTCAGAAAACTGTCATATTTTCCATACCTTTACCTTCAAGTCTTATCCTTCGAACGCATATGTTTACTTAAAATCATTTACAGGTTTCTTGCATTAAACGCTTTCTTCACATTTTAAACTTTTACGTTCCAAGAATCCTTTATATTAACTGTTTTATAAGTCGAAACCATTTACTTCACTTTTATGCAGTTTTACATGTCTATACAATTAGCATTACAATTAGCATTTATTCATGTAATTTAGTGTTCACACACCTTTTGATTACATCTTTAGACTCTTAGAGAGAGAGAAATCGAAATAAGCCAAACACCTATACAACATCAACCATGAATATCTGTTCGATTGTGAGAGTAACCTTAATATCCAAGGAGTCCTAGGATCAATCTAGTCGATCCTGTGAGTTACCAGAGGAATTGAATAACAGTCAGAAAGATTATTCGATAGTTTGGAAGACTAGCGGTTGTTTACCAGAAATCACTGGAAACAAATTGGCACACCTGATGGGACCAATAATTGGATAATTAGAAATAAGGATTGTTGAGACATAACCATTACAAAAACGTTGGAACTTAAGAAGTTTGCTGTTTTATGAACCTAAGAAGTGGTAAGATAACCAACAGCAACCAACCTTTATCCAGAAGAAAACGTTTGGACAAAATGTCTAATTCAGACAATCAACAAGGGGACCAAAATGGCCCACATGCAACAGGCACTAACGCGTCCACTTCGATCGGAACATCTAATGTAATCCCTTCGAATGCACAGTCTGTTGCATCTTCGACCAGTAACATAGCCACCAATGGAGTAAGTGGCATATCAACTAATAGTTCGATCTTAGGAAATACTGGAACTATTGGCAATCCCATTTCGCCACTCCATTAACTAGACCACCCGGTTTCGATGGGAATAGAACCAGAAACTCCTCCTATGGAATGCCAACATCTTTTATGGCAGGTTTACACAATTCCACATCGAATTCATCTCCACAACTAGGGTCTGGGTCTGGGGCGAATCAGTTTATGACAAATAACCAAGGGTCGGTGGGTTATAGCACATTGCCTATCCTAACCACAGATAACCAGTTGGCTTTTAGGCAATTGATGGATGACAGTAACCATAATATGATAGGGGTGTTAGCACAAACCATGCAGGAGATATTTGCCCCAATAGTGCAAAATGTGACCGTGACGAACAGGGAAAATGCTGACAATATGAGTCGAATAGCAGATTTCTTTGCTCCTCCAGAAAGGCGTAGGCAGAATCAGGCGGGATTTCGAACAAACATGCCTGTTATAGAACAAATTGCTAACGACCCAATTTATAGACCACCCAGAGAAGAAGTTAACTTAGGGGCCAGGGCACCAAGGTTAGAAGCCCCAATAATCCCGGGCCCACAAAGGGAAATTATAGAACCAGGGGCAAGGGTCGAAAGGCTAGAAGCCCCAGAGTTTCGAGAAGAACAACCTAGGGGAGTTGTTTTGGTTGGTCGAAATCAAGATGCCGATGCCGTCGTTCATAGAATTCGAAACGATAACATCTTGGCAGAAAACAACCTAACCACCATGATAGAGAGAGTTATGGCCCAGAATGGCCTCAATACAGGAATGAGGAGACCAAATTACGCTTCTCCCATATTGGATTGCATAATGCATACTGATTTACCAAGGGGATATAAAGTCCCTAAATTTACAAAGTTCGCTGGGGATACCAATGAGTCAACAGTCGAACACATAGCGAGATATCTAACCGAAGCGGGAGATATAGCCAATAATGAAGATCTCAGGATCAAATACTTCCCAAGTTCCTTGACGAAAAACGCCTTCACATGGTTTACCACTTTGCCTCCTGGGTCCATTGACACTTGGGCTCTCTTAGAGAGATTATTCCATGAACAATTTTATATGGGACAGTCGAAAATAAGTTTGAAGGAACTGGCCAGTGTTAAGAGAAAGTTCACCGAACCCATAGATGATTATTTGAATAGATTTAGGCTTTTGAAATCCAGATGTTACACAGTAGTGCCTGAACATGAGTTAGTCGAAATGGCCGCTGGCGGCTTGGATTATTCTATTCGAAAGAAACTAGACACTCAGTATTTGAGGGATATGGCTCAGTTAGCCGATAGGGTTCGACAGGTCGAAAGACTAAAGGCCGAAAAAGCCAGAGTCTTTAAGAATAGCAAGAAAGAAAGTATTTCCTATGTTGGGACTGAGGAAGCAGAAGAATATCCTGAATTCGAATTCGAAGAGGTCGAAATTGACCTCGCTGAATTAAAACAGGCCCCGCCTTATTCCTGCAAAATGTTAGTTCCCACAAAAGGGAAAGATATTGTTGAAAATGAAAAAAGTGAAAAATTTCCAAAGAAGGTTTATACCTTCGACGTCACTAAATGTGACGAGATTTTTGACTTACTTGTCAAAGATGGCCAACTAATTGTGCCATCAAATGTCAAAATACCTCCTTTGGATCAGAGAAAGAAGAGGGGATTTTGCAAATATCATAGTTTCATAGGCCACAAAACCTCACAATGTTTTCTTTTCAGGGACTTGATTCAAAACGCGATCAAAGATGGCAGACTAAAGTTTGCTGATAAGGTGAAGATGAAAGTGGACGAAGATCCCTTGGACGTCGCAGACACCAACTACTCCGAGCCTGCATGCATTGGAGAGGTCAACATGGTGGAAACTGATCAAAGCGACGCCCTAACAGGAGAGAAGGGCACTGGAGTTGAAAACTGGGTGATGGTCGAAGTCAGCAAGGAGGTCACTGAAGACATCCAGAATACGCCAGAGACTTCGATTGCTGCACCTGTAGCTGTTGCAAGAGAAACCCAGGCTACTGAAGGCCAGGGAAATCAAAACCAAGGATTAGCACAAGTCACTGAAGGCTTGAGGCTGGAATTGGAGAAAGTCCAAATCACGCAGCCAATTTCCCCTCAGAGGGAAATATGGGACACTCTGGGGGAACCCAGTGGAAAATTTGACTATTTGGTCAAATATTCTGCCCCAGAGAGTTCGAAGGTTCAGATTGAGGATATAAAGCCCACAGGATGGGGTGATGATGAAGCTAAAGAGGGAGATGTGGAAATAAATATGGTGGATATGGAAAGACCTCGCTCTGAGATGGAGGAAGTGGAAAAATACTTAGAAAAAGAAAAGTATAGAATGGGGGATAATCACACTGGAGATGCTAGTCTCAAAGATTATCTCATGACATGCCACAAAGGAGATTCAGGCATGATATTGTGCCCTAGGTGCAGCATCCTCTGCAATCAAAGAATTGCTGCGAATTTTGAAAGGGTACAGAGGGCTCGAACTGGCAACAATTGGCGCCAGGATAACCAGCTTTTTAGGTGTTATCCCAAGGCTGGAGAGAGTTTGCTGGAATTTGTGTTTCGCTGCTACAAAGGGGAAACCAAGTGCTTGATTTGCCCAAGGTGTTCTGCTGTGTATGACCAAAGCATGGCCAGGGCCTTCGAAACGATTCCCTTTGCCCCTTGCTGGAACCATCAAG